TTTAAGACTTAATTTGGATTATGAATTTAAATTATGTTTTAAATTTTTATCCAAATTCATTATTCAAATACAACTTAAGTTGACGTAAGAAGAAAAATGCAAGTATCCAATCTCAAGGGTTGCGAGATTTAAGAAAGAGGACATGAATGGCAATACAGTCTACACAAAGAATCAAGCCCAATATCCCCCAAATCCAATGTCATTTTAACTTTCAAGTTATATTATGATCTTAAATATTAATACATACACAAAATTAAACTATAGAAACATACCAAGAATATACATGTTGGCAATGGCATGATGGGACCCATCACCAAGGTGGGCCCTACTGTGCTGACATGTACCATGTTTATACTTTTTGTGGTTTGATTACTTTTCCATAACCATAATGCAAATGTAAATGAATTCATGGCAAAATAAACTAGAAGAGGCAAGGCCCAACAAAACTACCATAGACGAATCATATGATACAGAGATCTGTGACTATTTCAAAAACTGTAGGGCAAATCAGAGCATTATAGGAAGATGGATGCACACAGAATAACATTTTAGATCATATTTAAACAATCAAAAGGGCAAAGTTACAAAATCAATTAAATGAAACTGAAATATGAAACTAATTTCTACTGCTGAACAGTAAAGGGAGGACACAACATCCAAACAGATCAAAACATTGTTCATTTGACTTCCTTGCCTTCTATAACATCTATGATCATTCTTCGTTTTTCTGAATTTGAAAGGCCGTTTAATAATTAGAATTTTTAGCCGTCAAGGTTTCAAAATGTTTGATTTTGCTTTGTACTTCCTGAATGCATCTAACTGTAAGGGGAGCGAGGACATGCTATGGTTTTGTTCTCTGTGTTGTTTAAATATATGTTGAATACGTCTTTTCTCCATACAAAGATCTCCATCAGCTCTCTATGGGTGAGGAGAAGTAGATTCATTGAACAGTAATTTATTTGTTCGATCTGGTAAGGGAATTTTCTTAAAATACTCTGACAAAGTTTCTTCAATTTCAAATTGAGTTGACGGTAATAGGGCCTGTGCATCCCTAGAGATTAGTCGGGTTTTGATCCTGACAACCCAGTATAATTGCTTTCTATAATCGTTCTAAATTGTTTTCTCTATCGTCCTAGATAAACTCTTTATCTGCTTCTTCTGGGTTCCTCATTCAACTATGTACATATTAAAGGCGTAATTTATTTTTATATTCAATAAATATTTACAAAGCTTAAGAATGGTCCTCTTGCGGCTCATGAAATCAAATAATCAAAGCAATTGATATCGTTTTCCAAATATTCTGAGTTCAACTCTCTACTTTTGAAGATCATCAAAATCCATACATCAAACTGGAAGAAGGAAAACAGATTGATTCTTTAGCTAGCTACAATATGCCTCTTTCAAGTATCATGCTTTTTTGTTGCTAGAAGGTTAAAATAGCTTCAAGAGGACCTCCTTTGAGAGGGTATGTTGGAGCATTCTGACCAGTTATCGGCAGTTTAAGCGCTTGCAACCATTCTCCCTTGCTATTTATCTTTCTCTGAATATCTACAACATCAATTCTGGTGCTTAGAAGTTGTAAAAACTTCAAAGGGATCTAAGGTCCATCTTGTTGATTGGATTTCACCTACCTCCTAAACTATTGATGTAATCTAATTTGTCTTAAAAAATTATTGCATCTCTCTCTAGCCATAACATCCACAAAACCACACAAATTACACTCCTCCAAAGAGCTTGTGACTTCTTATTTGAACCAAAGCCATAGAAATTAATAGGGAACATTTGATCAATGGAGGGGATCACCCAATAAACCTCTGCCAACTGAAATAACTTCCACCGCAAACTCAAGGCCACCAGACAATGAAAGAAAAGATGGTCAATCCATACTCTCTTCACCTTATTATTCCTTTATATGGTAAAGGATTTATATTTTTAAGATGGGGGTGCTATGCATCACAATGTTGTATTTTCTAGAAAGTTCCCTGATTGGAAATTGTGATGCAGTGCCATTTTCTCTATGTTGTGTAGTTTTGTGTTTTTTAACTAAGAAATTCTTAATTTTTCATTTCTGACCAAAGTGACTTCATTTCAAAGCTTGTGCAAAGGAATAAATCCCATTGATGTTACAACTAGACAATCAAATGAAACAATTATCACCCAATCACTTCCATGTCTTACAAGGGAATTGCATTAGTTCCTACAACTTTTATCTTTTTTATAACTTGATCAACTTCAGCTATCCAAAAATTTTGGAAAAAGTTGTAACCTCTACCTTCATTCAGACTATAGGCCCTCCTAAACTTAAGTTCCTCACGTACCTTTCAAAAGATAGCCCTGCAACTTCCCCTTATGGGATAGCAGGAGATTCCACTTAACATGGCGCTTCCACATTTCCATCTTTCCTAATTCATCCCCAAATAAGTTTGGAATTTCAGATCATCATCACCAAAGCACTTCCAAGCCTTAACAGGAATTACATTAGGACCTACAAGGAATTACATTAGGACCTACAAACTTTACTCTTCTCATAATTTTCGTAACTTCTTATTTTTGTTCTATTTTTATTTTATTTTTGTAGGTAAAGATAGTTTTATCATAAAAGAAGGGCCAATAGGGCACACCCATGTATACAAAACATATACAAAACAAAACTAAATCCCTAGACTTTTTCCAACTAAAAGCCCTTGACCCTACACCCTCTCCAACTATAAAACAACTCCATCCCGGGAAAACCAGGAGATGCCAAACATAAGTGAAAGGGAGTATGCCTCACTCCACTCTACAATGTCTAAAAAAATGATCCACTGATCTAAATACTGCCTATCTGTAGATTCTTTAACTTTAGCAATCCTAATATTTTAGAATTTGAAGGAACTTGCTTCCATTGTCTGGCAAATTACTAAGTCCTCCCAGGCTTAAGTTCTATGAGTGATTTCCATTGAATAATTCATCAATGCATTCATACTATCTTTGTGGATATGAGTTGTGCACTTTTCCCTAATCTCAACCCACAATACTAAAATTTCAGAATCCTCACCCTTGATAACTTCAGCATGATGCAATTCCCTACTTTATCTATACTACCTCTCAGCTGGTTCATATACATCCTTTTTCCCAGTTTTACATATATAACATTTTAAATCATCAATAGAAGCTATATCCACTAGTACACGGAACTGTGAAGTTTGTACTGAAAGATGAGAGGTTACAAAAATCATTTGCTTTGTGCCATATTTATATTAGAGCATTTGAAATAAAAATTCAAACATAAAATAAGATACTAGCTATGATTTTTTTAAGTACCCTAATGATTCTCTATCCTTCCTGGATTTTTACAAAGCATCTTTGATTATACTAGCCGATCCCATTTGATGGGACTTAAGGCTTGGTTTGTTTTGGTTTGGTATCTTTGATTATGCTAAGTGCAACATAGATTGTGCACAAAATAAATAAAATAAAATAAAAACAGAAGAAAAGATGAGAGCTGCAATAACCCTTGAAATGCAATTCAAACTATATGGTAAATTGATCTGTAAGTAGGATACAGAATGATAATCATCACTGAGCACTTGGTATATGGATGGAACTACATGATGAGGACTGAGAAATTGCAAAGGGAAGTACAAGTAAAAACTAAGAAGAGATTTAATTATCTAAAAAATAGCCTTCTTGGCCTTTCTAAATAATAGTCTTCTACTAGGAACTCTTATCTGCTCTGCATGACCTCTGTGTCACTCCTTAAATCAATCTCACACACTACTTTTCATTCTCCCAAAACCTTTGAATTGGTAGAAAGCTTCTCTAAGAACCTGGGAAAATCTTGCTTACACAAAATTCAGATTTATATAACATCGAAACAATAAGATCTACCACACAATACAATTTTCTTCGCTTTTTCCTTGAAGGTCATAGAATCCTCCAAATGTCCCATTTTATTTTTCTAGTAATTATGATAAAGTGTCCCATATTGCTCTCCCTTTTGTGTCCCACACAAACTTCTAAAACTGCTCATGAAACTACAGGAGAGAGTAGCTGAACAGAGATTAGGATATGCAACAATAGTCTCAAATGAGTAATATGGTTTCATGCCGCAAAGATCCACTATGGAAGCTATTTTTCTACTTAATCAACTAATGAAAAAATATAGGGAAAAGAACAAATATTTCCATATAATGTTTATTGACTTACGAAAAGCATATGTATAGGGTTATTATGACGAAATCTGTTTGAGTCTTTGAGATGGTATGGAAGTGTGAAACATAAATAGTTAATGCATCTATAAAGAGGAGTGATTTAATCCACATTGATGTTGCTAAAAAAAATATATAGGCAATGAGATTATGAGATGAAGACATGTTTAGTCTAAACTTAACTGAGATGAAATGACTTCAAACAGAACCAAGTTAATTAACTGAAGGAAATTGATCGACATGATCAAACTCAAGTAGTAGGGATAAATTCTTGTTGAGTTGGTTTTGTTATGTATTTATTTTTCTGAAATAGTATCATTCTTTGCTTCTTTCCCTTACATCTTTGAGTTAATCCACATTGATGTTGCTAAAAAAAATATATAGGCAATGAGATTATGAGATGAAGACATGATTAATCTAAACTTAACTGAGATGAAATGACCTAAGGAGGAGTGATTTAATCCACATGGATGTTGTTAAATAAAATATATAGGCAATGAGATTATGAGATGAAGACATGATTAATCTAAACTTAACTGAGATGAAATGACTTCAAACATAACCAAGTTAATTAACTGAAGGAAATTGATCCACATGGTCAAATTCAAGTAGTAGGGATAAATTCTTGTTGAGTTGGTTTTATTATTTATTTATTTTTCTGAAATAGTATCGTTCTTTGCTTCTTTCAATTACATCTTTGAGATTTTTGCTCCTATAGATAACCCTTGATCTGTTTTCGGTTCTGTGACAATCTGGTGAGAGAACCAATGACCTGATACTTGTAAGCAATCACATCCAAAGGGAAGGCAGTTAATTTTAAAGTTTACATTGACAACATTATTAAATGAATTACTCATACAACAACAGTGGGACATAAAAATGCTGCAAAATACAAAGTATTCCATAACTAATTTAACATGTCTAGAACATCAAGAGGTGCAAAGAACATTGTACAACAAAAGTTTCAAGTAATAGCCGAGTCAATAAATAAAACAACACACCTAATAGGATAGACACTGGAAGAGCAGGCAGAGCTTTCTGATAAAAAGCAAGGAGCACCAGAGTAATACCAAGACCAGCCACAATAGCAAGATAACATGCATAAACTGCCATAAAGTCATACATTGCAGCCCGTCCAACTAAAACACTGTAGAAGATGAAGTCCCCTAGCCCCAGCTTAATTGCGCCAGATGTTCCCAACCCAATCCCCTCGAGCGCCAAATTTTCACTTGACACAGGTTCCTCTGGTAAGTGCATTTGAACATTTATTCTTCGTTCAATCAATGGTGCAGTTAGCAGTGAATCCCCTCCTGAAACCTGCCCCTCCTCAGCATTAACCAAATTTCTTTCATTGGAATTAGATCCAGAATTCACATTTTCATTCCCCTCTGAACTAATATTGTTTCTTTCTCTCCATACTCTCCTTCGAATTACACCACCCCCCGGGACTGAATCATTATAAGTAACGGGCCTAGCCTCGTAAACTAAAGCCGGGATATCTTCATCCCTAGATATTGCAAGCTCCACCAAGAGCCTCAACGGCCCGCCAGGCAACAAAACCGCGGCAAGATCATACAAAGCCAAGGCAACCAAAAGCACCCAAGTGGTCCATTCAGGCAAAAGAGTAAACCAATAAGCAACCAACATCCCAATAACAACCAAATAAGCTTGTGTCAAGAAGATAGGCATTTTGGACATGAACACAGCCAAAACACCAACAACAGTGAAATTAAACAAAACAAGCCCAAAAGTGAAGCAATCAATGGGAATATTGAAATCTTGGATCAGAAACAAAGCAATCTCACCACCCATGAAACCCAAAACAAGGAAAGCAGAGAAACCCATGTAGTATTTCAAGAACTTAGTGCATCTAAAGTAGAAAAGGAGTACCATAATGAAGGTAACAACAGTGATAACAACAACAAAAACAAGTGAATTCAAAAGGGCACCTTCTAATTTGGCCCAAATAGAGTCTGAACTGTCCTCAGTGTAAGCTATGGTTGCTATGGTGGTGATTGATGAAGAAGAAGAGTCATTGTTCAATATGGTGACAAGAATGACTACCAAAAACATACAAATTGAGACTGGGGTAATTATTCTGATGATTTCTTCGCCCAGTGATTCGAGAACGCTTGTGGGTTTTGGGTTTTGGTCCATTTTGTGATCGGGGTTGTCAAGAGAAAGAGATCAATTTGTGGGTTTGTTCAGTTTTGGGGGTTAATGGGGTGCTTCAGATTTGGTTAGGGCGATTTGGATGGTAGAACTGGTAAATTTGAGGCTCTGTTTGGATACTGATAAAATAATATTATTTTATTTATTTATTTATTTTGCTATTTAAGTAAACAAATTTGACTTTTTAGATTTTAGTTGATTTAGGCGATAAAATAAAATAAAATAAAATTGTCTTTAGTCATTTTTTTATATTATTATTATTATTTATTACTCTTCAAGTCTTAATTTTGAAAGATATAAAATATTTTTAAAAAAATCACTAAAAACAAACGTCCAAAAAACTTTCTTAAAAAAAAAAAAAAAAAAAAAATTAAAAATGGTCAAACATAACAACTTTTAAACAAAATTACAAAAAAAAAAAAATACTATGGTTAAAGCAATTTGGGATTTGAAATTTTGTTAAATTCTTATCTATATATTATATAAGTAAAATGAAATTTTTAGTGAGAAGAAATATGAGAGCTTTACGTGCTCAATTTAAATTTCTTAATTTTTTAATTTAAAAAAGTAATTAATAAATCACACACTCAAACACTTTTTTTTATAGAACAAAGAATGCATTTTTCATTCCTAAAATCATTCACTCCTTACACTTAAATAAACAAGGAGGTTTCAATTAAAAAATATTAATTAATAAATCACACACTCAAAAAATATTTCGCCGTAAAATATTTTCTATTAACATATTTTAAATTCTTCACCATAAAACATAAAATTATTTAAATAATTAAAATTTCGCAACATATTTTTTTTTCTCACCATGGTCATTATTAATTAACGGACATACCAAAACTCATTATTTTGACACAAATTAAATATTTATATATATGTTGAGATTTACTTATATTATGATTGAGTAATTTATATTTATATTTTTCAATTTTAAATAATCTATATCTATATTACATATAATTATAATTCAATAGGGTTTATTTAAGGTTCAAACTCTTGACTAATATTTTTTATTTTTTATTTTTTTAATAATGAAAATACTAAAACATTAATATATTAATAAGTGTAATTTGCTACTATCATATGGTAAACTAGAATTACAAAGTTTATAAAATGAAATGTATTATATTTTATCATAAATATAACTTTTGTAATTTGTTATTTAATTTTTATTGATTAAATTATGACATGTATTTAATTGATTATAAATCATTTTTACTACATATTTTAGATATATTTTATATTATTATTTAATTTTAAAAAATAAATTTTGATTATTTATTTGTACCCTAGCTTGGGTAATATGCCAGTTGAGAATAAGGGAGAAAACTGGCTCATCTCCATGCCATAATTACTCATATTCTTTCAACTTTATTTGTGGGCTCTATTTTGGGTTAACAACGATTATCTGAAACTGTTTGTCTTATGTAAAAAATGAATAATTCTATACATATTAACAATTTTATTAAAAATACAAGTGGTTAAATGTGGTTAGTTGTCAAAAAAAAAAAATAATAATAATAATGATTTTTAAGCATCCAATGATGTTTGAAGTCATGAGTTTAACTCTCCCTAAAAGTGAATTGAATTATGTGGCAAGCACTCCTTACTAGGAGTCGTGAATGGGATGGGGTAGGCTTACCCGACTCACAAATATTTTGTCCACGTCCCATATATTAATGGGTTTTTTTGGACTATGACTAGTCAATAGGTTCGTAGAGACCAAGCTTATTTATAAAAATTAAAATAAGCCTCACCCATAAGCCCAAATATTACATACTAAAATCAAATTGAACCGGATTACACATCTTTTATTAGGCTTATATTATTAAATTATACACATTTATTTTTTATTTTTTAATAATTCATATGATCAAATTAATTAATATTATTAAAATAATCAAATTAAAGTATAAATTCACTAAATTAACAAATTATCACAATGTTATATGTAAAAAGTTGAGAGTTAGAGATATTACCGGTCACTGTCAAATTCAATTTTAACAAATTGTGTTTAATGTGTTTTTTTAAAAATTATAATTTACAAGGATAATATAGGTTGTCAAATGTTTTTTTTTTTAATGGAACAATGTTGATTTTAACGGATTAAAATTGAATTTAATAGTGTTATTTTTTTGGATAATATTATTATTATTATTATTTAGGTAGATAGTTTGAGTCGGACTGGATTTAACCATGCAGGCTTGTATGGGCCGAGTTAATGAGCGGGCTCGAGTTTCAAACCTTTGTCTAGAGCCTTAAATGATCTTCCATGGGATGGGACAGATTGGGCAATCAAGCAGGCTAAGATGAGCCATGGAATAGGTTAGACAAATTGGATAGTACTAGATTTTTTGCCTATGGGCCATTAATGACTCCTGCTCCTTACTTTGCAAGGGTGAGGAGATTTACTCCCATTAGTGCTAATTATAAATTTTTCCATTATAACATCTCCAATGGCATGCTATATATGCCTTGATATTGCTATATTTTGCTTTGAAACTTTCAAATTTTCACTCGAATGATAAGGCATATAACTTGATATATGTTACTTGTAAACATTATGTCAAATCTAGTACGAGTTTTACTTATAACTAAAATCTTTGGCTTTGTTTGGTTGTATTCTCAAAATAAAATTCCACCATATCATTCGCGTTTCACGTTTGGCTACGATTTTGAAATCATAATTCCACCATATCATTCAAAATACATTTGGACTTCCCATTGGGCAGCTTTTTTCTTCATTTCTCCACTGTCAAAAGCTTCTAATGTGTCTTCAGTCTTCTTCATTTCTGAAAAGCCTTCCATGTTCTTCATTTCTGAAAAGGTTCATGTGCAAAAAGAAATTTAAAACTGAACTGATCTACTCATTTTCCTCTGTTTAAAAAGATCGCGGCTGATGATTCGTCACGGGTCGTGTTCGTTTCTGTGAACTGAGACCATTTTATAAACTATATTTGGAAACCTCCTTCCTACCCATACCATCTCCCACAAATCAAATGAGTTACAGTTTGTGCGTTGTGCAAGATTCATTCTCCGGGCAACCAAACAACAACGATACCAAGGTCAAATAAATCACAAATTTCTCCCAAAATTATTTTTACAACTCACTAATTTTCTGAAGCATCCCCAATTTTATTCCAAATTTATTTGTCACAGGTCAAATTTGTCAAACCAATTCTCGAATCAGACGACTACCAAAGAAGCGCACATTCACTCATTGTACCCACTCCATCACCGGTGACAACTATTCCACGCCCACTGATCTGGTACGTATATCCCTCAATCCATCTGATATGTAGCAATGGGTTCTGAAATGGTTTCTGAGAAGTCGAAATGGGTATAGAAATGGTTTCAGATCTATCTTGAACTGTTTGAACTATTTAAGCTAAGCCAGTCAACCGCCAAGACAACTGGCCGATTGTCTCCCAGGTCATCCGGCCGGTCGACCGCCGTCCTTTCCTAGTCGAGCTCTACTCACCCCCTTTCATGCTTCTCTTATTCTGCTCTTCTTTTTCTACTTATTTCTGGTTATTTTTTACTACGTACACATGTTTCACAAACTTTTTACAAACAATATTATCTGGTTTTTATTTTGTATCTGTTTTGCCCTTCAATTAATATGTTTTTCCTAACACTATTTAACAAGTTTAATTGATTAATTTTGACTCGTACTTAAACATAAATAATTGTAGTTGATTTTTGCATTGTTATTTTTTGTATCCACTCCAGATTAGTTCAAATATAAATTGTGTGTTTTTAGATGGATGGAAACAACTCAGATGACAATCAGGATACAAGAATGTGAACTCCTAGAATTGAAATGAAGTTAATAAACATGTCGAGAGAAGAGGTTAAAAAAAATCAAACAACGAGCTATAGTGCTGTATGGACAATTAGGCATTGGAATCATTTTGCAACTCAGTTGCAAAATATGTATGGATTTTGATATACCTATTTTGTATCAAAATAGGTGCGACAAAATATCAGCGATTGAAAGCTGATTACCAAACTTTTAAGTGACTGCAGGCACTGACTGGTCTGGGATGGGATCACGTTGTAGGAACTATTGTTGCACTCGATGAATTTTAAGATAAGGTTTTTCATTAACCTGCACCATTTTCATTTTTTTTTTTTTTTTTGTAACATTTCATCACACATACAATATGCTTATTTTCAATATTTTCAATTACTGTAAGCTACAAAAAATGTAAAGAAGTTTAGGACAAAATGATTTGAGTATTTTTAAGAAATGGCAAAAATTGTTGAAAATTGTTGTGCCACAGGGGCCTTGTCCCGTGTATCCACACAAGGAGCCCTTGACTCAGATGAAGAAGACGAAATGCTTAATAAATTTTGGAAACCTGAAGCTGGTGGGAGTAATGCTGCTGAAGCCATTCCTGTTGACTTATTTGGCAATGAATACAAGGATCCAGCGAAGGGCAAAAGTCACAAGAAGGGCCCTACAAATAACTAGACTAACAGTGGTCGTTCTAAAAGGTCACGGTCAAGTGGGTTCGATGATGTCTGTGCAGCTTTCACTACCTACGTACAGGCAAAAATGGAACATTCACGTGTACGATCAACTGACACAGAGGCTGTAAGTGCAAGTGGTGATGATTATTCCCTTGATGCATGTCAATATGCATTGCTAGAGCTTGGGGATATACCACCGGTCCAGTACGTTAGGGCATTGACATTATTTAAAAACAAGGAATGGCGAAGGTTTTTTATGCGTACTCCTACCCATATGCGCCTAGCTATGATCCTAGCTTTGCAGTGAAGTGAGAAGTTGTGTTTTGATTGAGTTAGCGATTCTCTTTGTCGTTGTGCAAGATGATTTGATGATTCCTGATTTTTTTTTATTCATTTTTTTTCATCTCATGATATGCTCTTTTTTATCCGTCTTCGTATGTTTATTTTTATTGAATTTTTAAGTAGTTTCTATTTTACATGAATATGTTGTGTTATTGTTCTGCGTTCTTTCATGTCCGTATTCTTATGACAAGATGACTACATATTAAATATATTTTAGTGGATGCTGATAAATAACTAAGTCCAACTAAATGTAGCCACTTGTTAATTCAGTTTCACCAATAAT